GAAAGAAAGAGAGAGAGAGAGATGGAGAGAAAGAGAAATCCTTTTCAGGGACAAGGGATTTTTAAAGTTTTATCTTATTAACAAGCTCTATGATAAAACATGGAGTTCAAAGTTACAGAAAGAGAAGCAAAATAGCAAAAAACAAGTATGGAGGAAGGGAATGGGGGTAAGGGAAGCGAGAAAAGAGAGCGAGCAGAGTCTGCTTGTGTGACATTGAATTGAGTCCATAGCATTTCTGTTTCAACTGCTAGGCCCAGTGATTGAAGGAAGAGAAATGCCACTTTATGCCGATACTGATAATGTAATTATGAACAATTTGTTGTTTCTAAAGGAAAGATGTGCCAGGTGTGGCATGCTTGTAAGTAGTTCAACTGAGTGTTTTGGGGCCTCTGAAGAACACCCTCTTTAGCAAACCTCTTTAGACTAATCTTGGTAGAGCATAGTTAACTTGAAGGCACATAACAAGAAGATAGGGAAGTAGCAATCCAAGGCGCAATGCTTTATCTCCTGATATGAATGAATGACACTGTGGACTCACTTGCTCCACAGTAGTCCCCTGGCTAGATTTGAGTGGGCAGTGGAGGAAAGGCAAACTCCCTTTGGCTTATTGTCTCATCAGCTTCTCACCAGACAGGCATCCAGTTTTGCATCCTTGACTCATCCCAGGTGGAGACTGCGAAGGGTGTGACAAAGGGAAATCAAACATCTATAATCATGGTCCTTTCCTCTAAGTGGATGTTCCTTTTTTTGTCTTTCCTCTCCAAAATTGCTTTGCTTACCTTGGAAAGAAAGGTATCAATTGAAAGCTGAGTGGGAGGACAAGTTAACAGATCATGGCATCTGTCTTAACTGCACTTTCCCACTTACAAAAAAGGCTAGCTGTTTTACTGGAGTAATGGTTGGCTCTTCGAGGCCATTTGGTTCTATTGTATTCTATTAACTGTGTGTGTTTCAGGAAACTGTAAGTAATCTTGGAAAGGAGCCCAAGGCCATCTAGCCCAACTGTTGACAATAGACTTCTCACAACCTCTGAGGATGCCTGCCATAGATGTGGGCGAAATGTCAGGAGATAATGCTTCAGAAACTCCTTTATGTTTTTGTACACTTTGGGACTCCAGAAACAGTATCTATCTGAGAGCTTTGGATTCAGACAAGGTGTCTGTGGTGGTATACATTGAGGATAGAAGTTGCATAAATTCCCATAGGGCATTTAGAGGGTCCTGAATTTTGGTATTTCTGAAGTGGGGATGAGAGAAAGTCTTAACTCTTGATAATTACAGTGAGTATCATTAAAGCCTTCACCATTAGAAACATATAGTTGGAAGAGACCCCAAGGGCCATCCAGTCCAACCTTATTCTGCCTTGGAGGGACACGCCAACAAAGTGATATCGAGCTAGAATATCATTTCATCTTTGGAAGAACAGCTGGACTCCAGGTTGGGGTTTCAGAGGCAAAAAAGGTTATTCCCGGGGTGGAAGGGGCAGCGGAGTGAAACCGAGATAGCCATTAGTCTTAGAATTCTCCCAGGAGAAGAATGACACCATTTTTGAGGCGATCTGTTGACTCGCAGATACGGGGGCCAGAGGGGTTTCCGTATCCGCAGTTTAAGGGAGCGCAGTTTCTGCCTCCCTGGGACGCGAAAATCGCATCCCAGGAGGGCCGGCAGTCATCTGCAGCCCGGGAGAAGATAGGTTTATTGAAATAGAAGTTGAGGCAGTAAAGAGACACAAATTAACGCTATGGAGAGGAAAAAGGTTACAATTAATTGATACTTTTTTATTGGGGGATTAGTTACAATGTTAGGAAGGGGAAAAGGCAAAGAAATGAGAAGGCTTCTGAGTTGCAGCTGCTGCTGGCGCCACGTTCATGCGGTTGACCCAAGCGGGGCAATGGAGAACTGAGCAACTCCCTGCTGTGGGTCAGATCAACTTGAAGGCAGGGAGTTCCGGGCTTGGCCTCAAAAGCATTCTTGACAAATGGCCATTCAGCCTCTGTTTAAAAGCCTCCAGAGAAGGAGGCTCTTCCACACCTTGAGGCAGCATATTCTCCCATTGAACAATTATTGCCTTCAGGAAGTTATTCCTAATGTTTATGTGGAATCTTTTTTTCCTGCAATTTGAATCCATGGCTCCGTGTTCTAGTCTCTGGAGCAGCATAAAAACAAGCTTGCCCCTCGTCAATGTGACATCTTTTAAAATATTTACACATGGCTAGTTGGTGGGCTGAATGGTAGAAATCCCCCCAGTAACATCTTGGTGCCCATTCCTTGCAAGCAGTGTGTGCTCCTGGCTCTGCAGCTACATTTCAAAGCCTGCGCTGTGCTTCTGGCCACCGGGGATGCTTTCCAGCAAAACCACCTGCTGACACGGTTGTGATCTTTCCTATTAGATGAAAGCTTGGCATCTGTCACCTCTGCAGTGTTTTCCCCAAACAAGGCTAATATGACATATTTCATCTGGTGCTGCTCTCAAAAATGGTCATCTGATGGAAACTGTAGAGGATACGATCAGTGTAGTATTTCAGCCCACAAGTGTCTCACTTAATTACATTCAAATGCTCATCAATAGATTCTTTCAAATCCCCAGATGTAATTATACTATTTATTAAAATATGTACAGCTTGACCTACATCCAAGGATCTCAGGACAACAAACAATAACATAAATTTAAATACCTTAAAACAAGGATAATTTAAACAGACTGAAGTCATATCTAAAACTTTCACCAGTGAACAGAAACCTGTTTAAAACCAGCTACGTTTTCAAACAACACAAGTGTGCAGATTTTGATGAAATCAATTAGGATCCAAAGACTTTACTAAAAAGCCATGTTTTTACTTGGCACCAGAAGAACGTCAGTGTTGGCACCGACCGGGCCTCTAATGAGATTCCTCTAATTCCACAACTGGGTCTGAAACAGATTAGAAGGTCGCTTCCCACACCATCACAGATCGGCAAGATTCCCCCCTTCCTCCTTCCTTCGTGTTTTCAGTTCAGACATTTAAAATGAAGCACTCGCCTGGCCGACTGCAAACCTCCTCCCACCAGAATGAATTATGAGATATTCATACAGCATACTTCTTTGAGATGCTCTCTGATCTTTGGATGGTTCACAGATGAAAACTGGGACGTGTGGCCAAACAACAAGACGGCAAAAGTTATTAATGGAAGAGAACACACAGGCCAGGCAGGAACTGTTTGCTTTAGCCTGAGCCTACTTACTGGAAAAGACAAGATTCCCCTCCCCAATCTAACAGAGTGCAAAATACCTTTGTGCTTTGAACTCAAGTTTGAAGCAACAGCAGTAAGCCAATGGTGAAGGGGGAAGTGGGAGAGGAAAAGAGACATTTGGACACTTTGATAGCAACGGAGGAAGTGGGAGGACAGAGGATTGGGTTGTTGTAGGTTTTTTTGGGCTGTATGGCCATGGTCTAGAGGCATTCTCTCCTGACGTTTCGCCTGTATCTATGGCAAGCATCCTCAGAGTACCTCACTACCTCTGAGGATGCTTGCCATAGATGCAGGCGAAACGTCAGGAGAGAATGCCTCTAGACCATGGCAATACAGCCCAAAAAAACCTACAACAACCCAATTATTCCGGCCATGAAAGCCTTCGACAATACATTGGACAGAGGATTAATTTAAATTTGTTCCTTGTTAATCGGGATAGCTGGAGGTTAAGTGCTTTTTCAGGGCCGTGCAAAAACAAAAAAAGTGATGATTTGTAAATTAAGAATTGTTGTTCTGTTAAAAGAAGCCACCGGTGGCACAGTGGGTTAAACTGCTGAACTTGCTGACCAGTTCACATCCAAGGAGTGGGGTGAGCTCCCCGTTAACCCCGGATTCTGCCAACCTAGCAGTTCGAAAACATGCAAATGTGAGTAGCTCAATAGGCACTGCTCTGGCAGGAAGGTAACAGCATTCCATGCAGTCATGCTGGCCACATGACCTTGGAGGTGTCTACGGACAACGCCGGCTCTTTGGTTTAGAAACTGAGATGAGCACCAACCCCCAGAATCGGACAATGCTGGACTCAATGTCAGGGGGAAAAACTTTATCAACCTTTACTAAAAACTTTAGTAGGTTTGGTTCATTTGTGTTATTCTGTGCCTTCAAGTTGTTTCAATTTGCGGCCACCATGACATGGTTGTTTTGACAAGAATGCCTTGATATTCTGAGTTATATGGCTGTGTGAAAGGGCCCTTAGATAAACAAGAGGGTGGATGGCTATCTGCTGGGAGGGCTTTGATTAGTACAAAGTACAGACTACAACAGGCCTGGGCAAACTTGGGCCTTCTGGGTGTTTTGGACTTCAACTCCCACCATTCCTCACAGCCTCAGGACCCTTCTTTTTCCCCCTCAGCTGCTTAAGCGGCTGAGGGGGAAAAAGAAGGGGCCTGAGGCTGTGAGGAATGGTGGGAGTTGAAGTCCAAAACACCCAGAGGGCCCAAGTTGGCCCAGGCCTGGACTACAGTATATACAGAACGGGCCTCAGGCGCCGCGGGAGGGCTCTCCCTTCCGCCCAATAGGAGGCGCGAGGACGGGCGCGGCCTCCAGGCTTCGACTCTGGACCAAAAAGGGGAAAACGCCAGAGGAGGCCGAACTACTCCCCCCCAAAAAGGGCGTGGCCTGAGGAGCGTGTATGTATATGTAGATATATGCTGAGGGGCGTGGCTTGGCTGGGCGAGGGGGCGTGCCCAACGGCCCGGAGTAGGGGGAGCCTGCGCTCGCGCGCGCGCACGCACGCACGAGGGAGAGGGCGAGAGGCGGAGCCCCGCGGGTTGGGTCGGCCTGCCTCGAGCCAAAGCGGGCAGACTCTGCCGAGCTGCGCTGTGCTGCGGCTCGGCCTGGCTGGTGGAGGGGAGGAAAAAAAAAAGAGGAAGGTGCTGGCTGCTGTGATTGGCTACTGCTGCGGCGGCGGCGCTCGTGCCGGCGGTTGCTAGGCTCCTCGCGCGCCGCCCCTCACCCCCCCCCCGCAGGTACGTGTCGTGCGCGGTCGCCGCCGTTGCGCCTGCTCCCTCAGTCGCTCGGTCACTGTGCCGGTGGCGAGTCCCCGGGAGGAGGGAGCGGCCTCCGCTCGGGCCCCAACGTCGCAGTGGGAGGGATGAGAGGAAGCGAGGGAGGCCGAGAGAGAGGGAGAGAGCGCCGCAGTAGGTGAGCCCTGAGGCCTGTCGGCGTCGCCAGCGTCAGGCCCTCCTGGCAGGCCGGGCGTGGAGGGACTCCTCGGGCCTCCTCGTCCTCCTGCTCCCTCCCGAATCCCCTCCTCCCCGTGAGGGCCTCTCACCTTGGGCCCGGAGGCAGGTGGACGGGAGCTGCGAGCCCGGCAGGTGCAATTGGGGGGGGGGGCGGGCAAGGAGAGCTCCTAGGTGGCTGCCTGGCCTCGGAGGGATGGGCCACTGGCAGGGAGCAGAGAAACCCCTTGAGGCGCCTGTTCAGCCGTGGCCTTTCGGGGGAGTTGTAGGCCCTCTCTTCCCACGCCGCTCTGCAGCTGCCTGCCATGTTGTTGAGGAATGGGAGCCCTGCCTTGGTGGGGGGCTCAGGGCGGAGAGGCGCTTCAAGACCAGGCCGGGAGTCCCAGGAATCTCCTAGGCCCCTGCTACCCAGCTGAATCAAATCCCACATTTTCATGCTTTGAACTGGAATATAGGGCAGTGTGAATTGCGATAGTAACCTAGGGCCCTTCCACATAGCCATATAACCCAGAATATATAACCACAAATACTGACCACAAAACTCAAGATGTTTTTATTGCTGCTAGTATATTGTCTGATTGTTTTAATCAGTTATAACTGTGATATTATGTGGTAAATTTGTGTATTGTATATTGCATTGTATGTTGTAATTGTTAGGCATTGAATTGTGCCTTTTGTAAGCCGCCCTGAGTCCCCCCAAGGGGGTTGAGAAGGGCGGGGTAGAAGCACCCCAAATAAATAAGTAAACATCAAGGCGGAAAATCCCACATCTGAGTGTGGACTCAGATAACTCAGTTCACAGCAGATACTGTGGGATAGTCAGCCTTTAAATTCTGTGACATAGGGCTATGTGGAAGGTCCTTGGGTTACCCGAGTCCACACTGCCATATATTCCAGTTCAAAGCAGATAATGTGGGGTTTTATTCAACTGTGTGGAAGGCCCCCCAGTTCAAAGCAGATATTGTGGGGTTTTCTGCCTTGATATTCTGGGTTATCTGGCTGTGTTGAAGGTCCCATAGAAGGCCTCTTTTTTTTTGTGCGGGAACTCAGCAGGACCTAATAGGGTCCAGATCCACTCCCCCCCCCCTTGCAGAAGAAAGGGGCAAGCAGGCAGGGTGGTTAGAGACGAGTACAGTAAGAGCGGCCATGCTCATTTTCGGAGTGTAAGATGAAATTGGCCCATAAATATTCTTCTGTCTTCATTGCAGTATCTCTATGAAATAATTATGAGCTGTTTTTGTGGTCAGTATTTTATGGCTTGTACTTTTACAACTGGAACTGCAGTGAACTTTTTAATTGCTAGATTAGAGATGTTTCTGTAAACACATGTTAATGTATTGGGGTTGCTGTAGCCCACTTAGAAGAGCAATGATTTCCACGGAATGGATGGATTCATATCTGGATAGATTAATAGGGCCCTTTCCACACAGCTGAATAAAATCCCAAATCTGCTTTGAACTGGAATATATGGCAGTATGGACTAAGATAATCTAGTTCAAAGCAAATATTGTGGGAATTTCTGCCTTGATATTCTGTGTTATATGGCTGTGTGGAAGGCCCCTAGGTTTTCCTTATGGTTGCCATAAAGTTGCAAATGACTTGTTAGCACACAACAAGATTCAGTATAGGTTAGAATAAATACCAGTTTGTTTAAAACAGATTAAATAACAGTTTGTTTAAAGTTCAGTTTATTCACCAGGGATGTTCTATAATATCTATAGTCTTGTAAAGTTATTCCTTGAAACCATTATTCTTGTACATAATGCCATCATGATACCAGTAAGTGTTCACTGTTCCACCTCATGCAGAACGAGCGCTGCATTCCAGAAGCTTAATCTAGTGCAGGCATCCAGTACAATTTATTTTAAAAAATCCCTCTATATATTTAGAAGCAACGTGTAAGGGCACGTTCTAACAGCAGCATTCTTGAACGGGTACTGTGGGCTTAATTGAAAGTGTAGTAGCAGCACTGGAAAAGGCAGATATCATATCATTACACAGCACTGATTTTGCAATAATTTGCTCTGATACCCTCTGGTCATGGGAAGCTAAGCAGGGCCAGCCCAGGTTACAGCTTGGCTGGGAAACTGCCAGTTAATGCCAGGTGCTGAAGGCGATATTTCAGAAGAAGTCAGTGGCAAAACCACCTCTGAGAATTCCTTGTCTTAAGAAAATCTTAGGAAGCTCTTGAGGTCACCATAAGTCAAAAGGTGGCTTGAAGGCAAGCACACATATGGATGATCAGGGAACCAATGTGAACTGAAGTGGCTGATGGTTGCTTTCTGCTGGAATTAGATATACCACATTAATACTTTGAACTTCTTAATAGAGCACATCCATAGGTTTGAAGTTGTAAGCTGCCTGAGTCCCCTTAGGGGTAGAGAAAGGCGGGGTATAAATAAGGTAAATAAATAATTTCAGAAATAACCTCTGACAACATCTGAATATACACTAATCATATTTTTGCTCAGTAAATAACATAGAAAGTACTGCAGTAGTTGCTTTTGGGGTAAGAACAACATTTGGAACCTTCAATAAATGTTTTAAGATAATTCAGTGTTTTAAGGCCAGAAATATTTTCTCTTCATAGTGCAACATTATAACATTTCCCCCTACTCATAAAACTATTGGTAATCTGCATGCATGTTTTATAGAAATACATATTTCATTTTATAATCAAATGCATTATACTACAAAGAAGCTTTATGAACAAAAGGGATCGATGAGGCTAGTTTTTTCCCAATGGAGCATTTGCTTTTTTGAGAACTTGGAATGGCCTTGTCTTCATTATGCTTTGTGTTTTGTCATGTGGTGCATTGGAGCTTTAAAACTAGGTCTTGGCCCTTTGTGTGTATGAGAGAGAGCACAGCATGACTTTCTCCTGTTGCTGGGGGTTTCTCCATTTATAGTACACAGTGGGAAAGTTGTGTTGTAAACAACTTCCGCATCAATTCAAGTCACTTGCTGATTTTGAGATAGAAATATGACACAGATGTTTCAATGGTTTATGAATTTTAATATGGTTGTTTCTGGGTATTTATGAGTCAGCATTATGTAGTGATTTAAATGTTGGGACTATGACTCTGGAGACCAGTTTGAATCTGTGCTCAGCCTTGGAAACCCATTGGGTAACTTGTGGCAAGTGACATTCTCTCAGCCTCAGAGAAGGATGAAGACAAACCCCACCCCTGAACAAATCTTGCCAAGAAAGCCCTCTGATAGCATTGGGAAGCAGGTGGGAAACAACTTGAAGGCACAACACAACAACAGTACTTGGGAGTGAGAGAGAAATGTCTTTTTCTTTACTATTGATTTGTAAAGCAATTCCCTACCTCCTTGCCCTAAAGATCCCCTGTTGATAACTGTTTAAGATTTTCAGTGGTGATACAGCGTTTGAATTGTTCTGAAGAAAAATAGGAGTATCCTTATGCACCAAGGCATGAGTGCAATGTGTAGTAAAGTAAAATATATCACTGGGGATTGCTATCTCCTCATGAAAGAGCCATTTCCAACGTGGTTCAAACTACATGGGACTCTCCTCTTTATTTTAATTTTTATAAGGTTTAGGAGCTGACTTCTGGGCCAGTGTTGGCAGTTGTCTGGGGCTTGGGGAAACAGAAGTCTGTATCCTATTTCTTCTGCACCCTCAAAAAATTTCCAGCAAAGAAACCCTTTAGCTCCTGGTTTTCATTTCCCCTGATTTAGTCCCATAGAGACTTCTCACCTCAATAGAAAATAATGAAAATGAGTCATTTGTGCACCCCCAGGCTTTAGGTAGTTTGACTGTCCAAACTGATTACTGCCAAAAAAGAAAAACATGAGAAGGCAATGTCAAAATGGCCTTAGGCCTGCTTGCCTTCTGCTCTCAGACTGCAACCTGTATTCCAGGATAGACCTTTGCAATGTGATAGAGATTTAATGAAAACAAAAGATTGAAATTGACAGTTTAAAAGTCCTAGCACCCAATTCACAGTGTACCAGTGCAATTTTAACTCAATTACGGGTCCATATAAATAGGCCAGCCTTCAAGGCTCAGGTAAAGCCTGGTGAGCAGGCTTCTACAAGTGCAGGGCTGCTACCAAGTTGGTTTTATTTACAGCCTTATTGGGTTGCTATAGGTTTTTTTGGGCTATATGGCCATGTTCTAAAGGCATTTTCTTCTGACGTTTCACCTGCATCTATGGCAAGCATCCTCAGAGATAGTGAGGTATGTTGGAACTAGGAAAAAGGGTTTATATATCTGTGGAATGACCAGGATGGGACAAAGGACTCTTGTCTGTTGGAGCTAGGTGTGAATGTTTCAACTGATCACCTTGATTAGCATTTGATTGCCTGGCAGTGCCTGGAGCAATATTTGGTTGAGAGGTGATTAGATGTCCTTGGTTGTTTCCTCTCTGTTGTGCTGTTCTAATTTTAGAGTTTTTTAGTACTGGTAGCCAGATTTTGTTCATTTTCATGGTTTTCTCCTTTCTGTTGAAATTGTCTGCACATTGTCTGAAATTGTCTGCTTTGTACTGCACAGTTACAAAGCCATATTGGGCTTAATACACACTACATCCTTGATGTAGTACCATTGGATCCCCCACGTACGACTTTCTTGCTGCACAGTTAAAAAGCCATATTGGGCTCACTACACACTACACACTTTCAGTGGGACAATGAATTCTACAAACAGAAAGATGGAGTAGCTATGGGGAGCCCCCTCAGCCCGGTCATAGCTAATTTCTACATGGAACACATTGAAAAATAAGCCCTGGAAACAGCAACAAAAAAGGCCCACTATATGGTTCAGATATGTGGATGACACTTTCACCATATGGAGCCATGGAGAAGAAGAACTAAACAGGTTCTTGGACCATCTTAACAGCATCCACCCAAACATCCAATTCACCATAGAAAAAGAAAATGAAGGAAGACTGTCTTTTCTAGATGTCCTAGTCATCTGTAAACCAGATCAGCAAT